GCCAGGTTCTTTGAATATTAACCTGATCCTGATTAAATAATAAGCAATGTTTGACATAGTATGTTAATCTTTAATTGTAAATTTTTCTTAATAAAAAGTTAAGACAGACAAACGAGACTGCATGATCCACCTAGAATGTTATATTAAGTTTACTTCTTTTTTAATACAAAGGTATTATAAGATGTACAAAATTATAAAAACAATTTACATTACAGTGTGCTGACAGTCAGTAGCAAATTATATTTGCATCAGCATTTTATAGAAAGTTAGTATTTTAAAGAGGCACTCCTGCTTCAATCACAGTGGAAGAAGATATGTGTACTTGGCAATTCAAAGTTCCTCCTCTTCTTTCTGTGGGTGTAAAATAATACCCCTTCCACGCATCTTACAAAACTCACTGGTGAGGTAAGACCCAAATCAAATTACTCCTAAGTACAGTTCACTCTGTTGTGATAAAATAGGCGTAACCATTAAAAACCAAATAAGAGTCCCATGAGAAAAGTAAATCACACCCGCACCACAGTAGAGGTGCCAATACCTGTAATGCATTCGCAATACCATTTAACATGAGTTTGGGGTGGTTTTTTTAACAGAATGGTTACAATTTTAGTTCAGCACTCTAGTGTTAAACAAAACCAAAGCCCAGCACCTCTCAAAGCCAAATTTTACTTTCATTCACAGGCATGCAACCCAAATGAAGTAAGCAGGGCTGAATATTTATAATTGAGAATAGATTTTGTTTCTGCCAGGTAAAATAGCTACAATACAAAGTTTTGTTTTCATAGGAAAGTGCTACATTTTCAGTTAATTCAAACAATTTCTTGATGGAGTTTCTTTCCAAAGATCTAAAATTCAAGCAATATACTAAAGAGCATCAGCTTCCAATTCTCATTAGAAAAACATTTTTTCCCAGTAGTTTAGAATTTGAGTTGTGTAGCTTAGTGTAGCTGTGCACTGTACAAGTTGCCAAGTGTGGTAATTCTTCTATTTGCCTATAAACAGGAAGAAATATCTTTCCAAAGTTCCTTTCCCTGAGGATATTGTCGTATCAGGCCGCAAGCTGAATCTCTGACAAGGAAGTATAATGAAAAATTCTTTTGATCACAATTTGAAGGTTAAGATGTTTTAAAACTTATCGACTATAGATCAAAGGTGTCCAGGAGAACAAGAAAAATTGTGCACTGGGGGTGAGGAAATAGAGATTCTTATTTCCATGTTGGCTTTGTAGTTTTAAAATGATTCTGTTCATTGGCATTGACACCACCACAACTACCTTTTAAGAGTGCTCTTGCTGCTGATGAAGCAGCCTGAGCAGTACCATTGATCATCTAATCTTACAGAAGACTTTACTGATATGTTAATCTGGCACTCTTAGTTTCTCCCTTCCTCTTCATTTTAAATAGCAAATTCGTACAAAATATCAAATCTACTGATGATTCCAGGAGAAGGAAAATAAACATTTGAGTCAACTTTACAAACTTTACAAAAGACATTGTTCTTATAAATGCTTTAACATTAGGGTCCATCAGGAATTATTAAGAGCTGTTTAATACAATGTTTAATGTCAAACAATTCCTGCCTTGTCAAAAACCATAAGAAATAAGAGCTAGGAAGTTAGTCTGCTAAAAAACAAACAAAATCAAAGTACATTCATTGTTTAAATCCTTTCAGTTTAAATAATTTATGTTATTGCTGTATAACACAGGTAAGAACAATATATCATTTTGTTAAAAGATATAATTTGTATCTGGTTGTGTCCCTTTAAGAACTCCTTTTAGTAAAGACATCAGGAAAGTTTTCAATTGCCTGTAATGGCTAAAGAGGAATCGGGGTCAACATCAAATATTTTTAAGTCAAAAAATTTCTGCCAGTGCCTAGCAAAATGCCCAGGCAAAGGAGATGTTAAATACCTTTAGCACCTCTTGGAATAAAAAGGAAGGTGCTTGGCATCTCACAGCAGCAGTATTCAGTGAGAATACTGAAACCACATGACAAGTTTATTTCTGTGGTCAAGTCCATGAAGCAAGACCTACTTTCTTCCCCTCAAACAAAGAGCCCAGCCCTGGGCGTTGCTAAGCACCCTTTACTTCTACAGGACTTCAGTAGGAGATAAGGGTGTTTGGCACCTCACAGGAGCTGCCTTGTAATTTATCCAAACAGAACATCTGTTGCCAGGGGAAGAAAAATAATTTTTCAAAGTTAAGTTAATCCATTTACCCCTCTCCTCTTTGTGATTCACATTATCTGTTAATAGTTTCCAAGTTGAATGTCCCTTTACAATGTTAGCAGCTTAGGATCTTAAATGCCCGCATGGATATGTGCTGCTCATAGCAGCATCTGGCACAGCAATGTTCCACCATTGCTGACCAGTTTTCATCCAAAGTGCAAGCTCAGCTTCGCGAATTGACTGGAAATCCATTTCCCTGAGAATCAATCCAAAGACCAGCCCCATTCCCTGCTAACATTAAGCCTAAGAAAATCACTACTTTGTACAAACATGCTTCCAAGCCAAACGACTGTAACTCCACATCAGACTTGCCCTGCAGCTCTCGAAATCATTTGGCTCTTTATGTCAGCACATCAACTTGAGCAGCTACAATGCAAGAGCTGAGCATATAGTTTGTATTGAGTCCTCACAGATTGGAGCTCCATGAGAACATATCTAGTGGAATATTGTTCTCTGCAGTATCATACATGCAGTACTATCCAGCCTTTGGGCACATATATAATCTGTTACAAACAGTATTGCATATTATCCCCCTAAATATCAAACTCATGAATCTCTCCTTTAGTTCTGAGATGCAACTACTACTTGATCTCCTCTTCAAGCAAATATAAAAAATGCAGCAAATGGGGCATTTCTTCCCTCAACAATGATCTACCAGAAGTTTTACACTGGTCCATTTAAAGTAATGTCAAAACTAAATGAAAAATTTCAGATTGAAGTTCATTCTGCTTGCAGTCATAATACCAGGAATTAACCGCAGCTCTCTGTTTTAATGAATTGCCTCAATACTGAGATGTTACTTTTTAATGTGGTTGCTTCACTGGAAAACCAGAGAAATACTCTGAAGGTAATCTGCAGATTCCATTATGAAGTTAGTCCACTCTTGGGAAAGGTCTTCAATGGAGACATCCTCCCCACCATATTCCTGTGGGAGAATGCTGGCTGGGAAGTGTTGCGTCAGACTCTGTATGTAATTACTCCCATGCATATACACCTGAAACAAGAAAAGCTGTTTCAAAATGGCTTTCCAGTTTTCAGAATACACACATACATTTACTTCCATCTGAATCCCAGAGCGGTTTGTGAAGACATTGGAAAGGCAAGAACCTCAGGTGTGGGAACTGAATCACAAGCTAGATTTCACTAACACACGGTATCTTCACTACTTTTAATGTACGTTCACTATACTCTCCTAAAGCTCCCAAACTCACTGCTATTTGCTGCTTAGTTCAGGATGAAATGCAACTTGTGTTTCATGCTGCTGCAAACGTAGAAACCAAGGCCTAGTTTACATGATTTAACTATTTCAGTTAGGGGTGTGCATTGTACACCCCATTTACGCTGTGCTTAGACCAGCCCTAAGGGTCTGATCATGCAAGTACTGCACCCTCTCACTTCCCATTCAATATGTTTAAGGGCTGTTATAAAAAGGACAGCGAATTGTTCTCCATGTCCACTGAAGATAGGACAAAAAGTAATGGGCTTAATCTGCAGCAAGGGAGATTTAGGTTAGATGTTAGAGAAAACTTTAGCTATAAGGGTACTTGCACGCTGGAATAGGCTTCCAAGGGAAGTTGAGGATTATTTGAGGTTTTTAATAACAGGTTGGGCAAACACCTGTCAGAGATTGTCTAGGTTTACTTAGTCCTGTGTCAACACAGGGGGCTGGACCTGATGACATTTCTAAAGGGGGTAATTATCTCAAGCATCTCAAAGGCTTTTTCTGTGGTTAGAAACATCAGATGCAGAGCCTGTACTTCTAAGAATATCAGTAGAACAGCTTTGTTGTTGTTTCTCCAGTGCCTTATTACAGCTGTTTTGAAGTCTCATGCACTACTTCCCACCAAATGCCTGTTTAATTTCCTTGCAGATTTTATTCTAATGGACTATCCGTACTGTAACAGTTCTTAACATTTAAACAGGCTTTTCTGCAAATGTGTATGACACAAAGATTTACTATATCAAAGCACAATAAAATGAACATGTGATTAAGTGCCTTTGTGCTCAGGGCTTCTTGAGCAAGATCTGAGAGACAGAGTGAAAAAGCAATGCCTCCTCTTGAAGCTAATGGGAAGCCAGTCCAGCTAGTCACTTCCCACAATCCCTGGCCTGGCCGTAACTATTGACCCCTAGCTGCTTTTGTTCCACCTCATCAGCTTTGACGTTTTCTCTATTCTCCCATTCACTCTTTTCTCCCCTTCTTCAGCCTAGTCCCTCCATTAATCGGAGTCACTCCTACCTACTTTGCCTGGAATCATTCCCACACAGCTGCTTGCCAGGCAAGAGCAATCTTGCTGGAATTCTTCATGTGCCGCTACATCCAAATAACAGGGATTTTAAGTTAAACAAACCCAATAACTATGAATTCACATAAAGTCACTCAAAAGCTATTTTAAAAAACAACTTTGCATCAGTTGAAATTTGAACCTTTGGCCTGACCCCTAAGTCTGTATTCAGGTTACAGCGTAGGCTCTTTGGAGCAAGACCAGTGTCTTCCATTATGTTTGGAGAAGAGCAGTGTCAGTTCCCACTGAGTAATAATTATCATTTGAAGCAAAGTCAGGAGACCTGGGTTTTATGCTCAGCTCTATGCAGACTTGGTGTCTGACACTGGGCAAGTGATTTAGCCTCTTGGTACTCCAGTTTTCCTTATCTGTAAAAATGGTGGTAAAACCAACCTCACCGGTGTGTTGTAATTCTGAAATCATTAACATTTGTACAGTGCTTAAAGAGTCCCCTAGTGAAAGTTCTACAAAAATGGAAAGTATAAAACTCATTTATCCTACTCAATGCTCAGGCACTGCAGGACCCAGATCCAAATGGAAATTGTTATTGTAGAAGAAAAGAAATATGTATTTATGTTCACTCACCCGTTCCTTTATTTTGTCAGTGAGAAAGGGCTTAATTAGAGCGAAGACCGGGTGGAAGAATAAAGGCTCATTAATCAAGTGGATGCCACGAACTTTTAGTGGAAAGGAATCCTGCAAACATATAAAAAAACATCATTGGCATGATTGTATTCTTGTGGGGAAGTCTGTGAGAAGTCTTTTGAACACAGGTTAAGGCAGTCCTCTTGCCCTTGCTTTCTAGATAGTGAAGACATTCCTGCACTTTGGAGTATTTACTGTTTACACTTCATTGACACTAAATGTAAGAAAATACATCTACATATGTTCCTCTCTTTGCATTAGGAAGAGTCATTTCATTACCAAGGAATGCATAACTGTGGGTACAGGCTGACCACAAAACCTATGCACAGAGGTAATGCCCAGGAAGCATTTGTTTTAGGATTAGATTCTGTCTTGCTACAGGCCTCTAGTTCTGTGCAACAGGGATTGAGCTACAAAGTTACACAACAGCCAGTCAGGCAGGATTTTCGATTGGCAATTCAAGTGGTAGATTCTCAAAGAGGGTACCGAAAGCTAATCTGTTGGTGGTGAGGGGAAGATCAGCCAGACTTGAGCTTGCAAAAGAGCTTATTTTTAAAATAGTCCAAACTTATGCTGTAAGTACATTTTTTTATAATATTTTGAACAAAATCCTTTCTATAAAAAACATTGTAAAAAAAGAGGAAAATAAGTCTTAAAAATCAAATATAAGTCATTACTTACAGAAAACTAAATGCATAAGGTTTGTAATTTAGGGCCAAAACCTGGAGTCAGTGGGAATTTTGCCTGAGTTGGGAATATAGGGTCAGCCTTATGATGAACCTTTTTTTTTTTTTTTACTCTTGGGCAGGGGTAGGCAACCTTTGGCATGTGTGCCAAAGGCGGCACGCGAGCTGATTTTCAGTGGCACTCACACTGCCTGGGTCCTGGCAACCGGTCCGGGGGGCTCTGCATTTTAATTTAATTTTAAATGAAGCTTCTTAAACATTTTAATAACCTTATTTACTTTACATACAACAATAGTTTAGTTATATATTATAGACTTATAGAAAGACCTTCTAAAAAGGTTAAAATGTATTACTGGCACGCGAAACCTTAAATTGGAGTGAATAAATTAAGACTCGGCACACCACTTCTGAAAGGTTGCTGACCCCTGCTCTTGGGGAACTGAAAAAAAAAAAAATTACAACTGCTATAGATTATTAAATGTTACTTGGATTGAAAATTCATTAGACAAGTGCCATAGCTTCAGAGGCTAAAAGGAAACATGTCCAGCACTCAGAAACACAACTGTATGCACTAGAGGGAGAAGAGCCTCCATCCATGCCCCATTTCATTGCTATAGCTCTGCTGACTACAATTTTTCTACTTCTTCCAGAGGTGAACTGGAGATACTGATCATAAATGTTTTTTCCATGAATATCACACTAGCCTTTATTTTCTTATCATGTAGGGTAGGGCCAGATTGATGGGCTCTTATCTGAATTAAAAAATACATTTAGCAAGCTAACTGTTTTTAGGAACTTTTTGAAACAGTGGGATCAAAACTTTAAGCATCAGATTCTAATCTTGTAAAATGTGTGCAGTCTCACAAAAAAAATCTGCTTTTGCCCATATCTGTGGTAACAGATTTTTCAAGATCCACAGCTATGGGCACTGCACAGTTCAGATTAGGCTGTTGTCCATAACAATTAAATGCTCTTCAGAACTCTTTGCTCTTGGGGCTCGATCCTGCCAGGTGCTGAGCACTCTGACCTGATCCAACAAAGCATTAAGCACGTGCTCAACTTTACGCATTGGAGTAATCCCACTGGCTTCAACAGAACTACACTCTTGCTTAAAGTTAAGCACAAGCATAGGTGCTTTGCTGGATTAGGTCAGAGTTCTCAGTATCTGGCATGATTAAACCCATAATTACTGTTGTTGTGAGCTGGAATAAACCTTGTATGAGTTGGTTAAATCCTCCTACATGCTGATGTGTGAACACATCGTTCACTTGAAGTGTTTCTTACAGCTATTTTAAGAGGCCACACCTAAACCAGGCCTAACAGAATCTGCCCAGAAACTAGCACCACAGGTATTGTAACCAGGTGGGTGGATGGGTGGGTGAGATAATACACATAAAATGAAAACAGAGAACAGAGAGAGAGCCTGACGCAAAAGACTAAGGCTAGGTCTACACTACGGACCTTGAAGCGGCACAGCTGTACTGTGTAGCCCCATGCAGTCGCTCTATGCCGGCGGGACAGAGCTCTCCTACTGGCATAATTAAACCACCTCTAACGAGTAGCGGTAGCTAGGTCAGCAGGAGAGCATCTCCCAAAGACATAGCGCTGTCCACATTGGTATTTTTGTCAGTCAGGGGTGTTTTTTTTTTTTTTCTTTTCACACCCCTGACTGACAAAAGTTTTACTGACAAAAGTGCTAGTGTAGACAAAGCCTAAGAAAGCCAAGCAGTAGCCTGGGAGCAGTGTTTACCCTGGGAAAGCTAGAGAGAGCTTTTGGGTCTGCTAGCTTGGGACTGGAAGCTAAGAAACCGCTTATCTTTTTCTTAGTTCTTTCTGTGTCCAGAGAAGCAGGACTTTGTACATTCCTTGTAAATAAACAAGATTGCAACAAAAAGAGAATACCAGACTATCAGTTTTTGCTTCCAACTGGAACATCCCCAGCACGCTGAAATTGGACTAACTGCTTGGGTCAAAAAGAGGCAACACTATTATTTTGATGCTATTTTCCCCTTTCTACATTGCAATTAACCTCTTGTTCATGCAGTGCAAGATCATATTTTTTACAAGAGAAAAAAAAAATGAATTCTTTATAACAGTAAAGTTTAAAAAAAATAGGATCTGAAAGTTAGGCTCCTAAATCTAAACGTTCCTAAATATGGATTTAGGAAATTAACTTTTTAAAATCTTGGCCAACAACATGTTACTTTAAAATGTCACAGTGACAAAAAGGGGCCTGAACTGCCAAGCAAGAGCAGAAGAAACCTCTGTGTGAAAAATGTCAAACCAACTTAGAAAATGATGAGAGGAATAGATAGAGAATTGCAATAAATAAGTTTATAAATTTTAAGAAGTACTACTCACAATTTATAGTTTTGATTTATTTTCTCTGCTGCCTTATTTGTAGTACTTTTAAATGTTTGAAAAACAAAGGGTAAATCCGAAAGCAGACACCTCACATCCAAAGAATTTCTGGCGTGGGGGGTACTAGATCCAAATCCCTAGATTTAACCAGGCACCCTCTTTCCCCACCCCCAAAACAAGCTCTAAAGTTACCAGGGACCTGTTTACTGGTTCAGATGCAGCTGAAATATCTCACAAGAACAGCAATTCTAGTGCGATTTTGCCCAAGATGGCAGAATCATCATAAGAGTAACCAACCATGTGAGAATTCCCCTACTTAAGATGGCAGACGCTCTGTGATGCTTGGTTTCATGAAATTCTCAGGTAGAAATATTATCAGAAAAGCTGAGATTGCTGCACCAAAAGATCAATGACATAACTCTGATTCAGCCTCAAACCCAAACCCTCGCTAGTCCAAAGCCAGACATTATCTAGTTGGCTCATCTCTATGTAATATTAGCTATTGGTTTTATTATTATTATTATTATTATTATTATTGAGTTCTTATGGGAGTTTACTGACTTTTTTAAATATGTAACTAGAATCTGGAGCATATTCACTACTTGATTATAACAAATTGAAGGCAAATCAAATAAAGTTTAGGTTTAAATCGCTTAAGTGTGTCTCACTTCTAATAGCTCTAAATAGCACTGTTTTGTTCTTTCAAGCTCTGTTATCATGGCAAGGCCCTACACAAAAGGAAAGGGTGCCATAATTTAGAGTAGAAACATTTTGGCTATTACAATAAAGAAACTAAAATTAAGCATCAAACCTACTGTGAGCACGGCAGCAATCCTCTTGGCCACTGTTGGACTGATTTGAAATGCATGAGCAAATCGCCACCCTTGAAGATCAAAAATAGCCTTGACTCCATTCCGTTGTGTGTCTCTCTCTTTTACAATAAGCTCTGATGTGATAAGACTTACACGAAACACATCATATGCTGTAAACATCTTTGGATCCCATTGTCCTGAAGAACAAATAGACTGTAGTGCATTACCACACAGATACTCTGTAAACATATACTCCCACTGGATACTGTTTTGAATGCACTCCTCAAATACAAAATGAGTAAACAGCAATATGGAGTGTGAAGTCATCTCCTTTTCCTCCTTCAAGCCCTCTCCTGTTCTGTAATAAGTAATTTTGTCAGTGCAGAAGCTACTTACTCTACAGCCCTCTGGCTCCTCTTCTACCCTGCATGATCATTCCACTCTCTGCAATTCATTTCTACTATCAGTAGGGAACCTGCCAAGAAGTTTTCAGAAAAGAATCTTGCAATGTTTGCTTCAAGAATCCTCTAGGTTTGGCAGTGACAGTAGTAATTAAATTGGAAAGTCACTGGCCGAAGCTCCACAGTACAATAGCTAGGATTTACCTCAATCAATATGTGTTAAAATGAGAAATTGCCTTGTCTACACTAAGGGCTTGTCTATACTTACGCGCTGGTTCAGCGGCAGGCAATCGAACTTCTGGGTTCGATTTATCGCGTCTTGTCTGGACGCGATAAATCGAACTCAGAAGTGCTCGCCGTCGACTCCGATAATCCTGCTCGGCGCGAGGAGTACGCGGAGTCGACGGGGGAGCCTGCCTGCCGCGTCTGGACCGCGGTAAGTTCGAACTAAGGTACGTCGACTTCAGCTACGTTATTCAAGTGCTTCAGGAGTTCAGTCTCCCATCTGAGTACCTCTCTGCAATATACACTAATCTGGACAGCCCTCAAAAAATCCTGTTTTTTCCCCTCTGTATAGCTCTCAAAGGGTATGTGAGGGTTCTTAATCTGTATGTTATTTTAAGGGTGCACAAAATAGTCAACGAGGGTCTGCTGTTGGAGCACATTAACTTGCACGTCCTGGCTTAGCTATGTCACTGAATAACTTTAGAGCACCTTCTGAAAGTACAATTTGGGAACCCACCCACCAGATCACATGGCCTCAGACGGTTCTTCATACAGAGCATTCAGGTAACTTGGGTGTGGCCAAACAGTCTTGAAAATCCTTTGGGTGTCTGTCAGTTGGACTCTTAAATAGGCATCCAAATACCCACGTGCATATACCCAACATTACAAAAACGTTGGACTTTACGCTGAACCTTAACATGTCTCTAGCCCTTGCCACAGAAGTTGGCACTTAATTCAGACGAACATTGTTTTCACATCCAGCCAGTATGAGTAAGCACTGGTCTACACACAAATATTGTGCCAATCTAACCTTGAATAGTTAAAACAATATAACCCCCCCCCCCTTCTGGTGTGGGCACATTATATAGTATGAAGGTGGTGCTTTACTAGCACACCTATATCCACAGGGAAGGGAAATAAGATATACCATCTTAAGGGATTGTACTGTTTAATTATTTTGATAGAAAAATCACACCCCTACCCAAGAGAGTTATACCAATACACAAAACAATGTATAGGCAAGGCCTAGGCCATAGAGAAGAGTTGTTACTTACCAATTCTATAAATAAGAACTTTGCTGCCACCTGGGTCCCTTGATCTCAGGACTCCATGGTAACCAGCATGCAGGAGATTGAGAATAGAGGAAGGCTGTAAATTTGCACTTAATTCTGGGCACTCAGCTCTCCACTTGTGATAGTTCTTCAATAACTGGGGACAAGAGAAGCATTCTTGTCAAATGAATATCAGTAGAAATGGGAAGCAAAATCCAGTCAAAAAAGGCATCTTGGATAGATGGGTCCAAGTCACAGAATTGACATGTTAGAACTTCCTTTATTCCAATGCTTCCTTATTTTATTTTTACTTTCAACAAATGAATTTTAGGAGCAGGGAGACTGCCAGACTGGATCACACCATAGAGCAGAATTCTTTCTGACAGTGGCTGGCCAGTACCAGATGTTTCAGAGGAAGAAGCAACAAAGCCTAAAATAGTTGCCTAACTGCCCATTAGTTAGATGAAATATCAGGCAATCAACACTTTTTTTTTTGGAAGGGGGGAGAGAGGGACCTCTGCCAATGTAACTTGAACAGAAGCTTCCATTGAGTGATCCACAATGATGCCTAGGTCGCTCTCTGCCCTGAGTTATTACAGTGAATTTAGAACCGAATCAATTTGTTAATGGAATGTAATCACCATTCAGTGCCCGGTGGTAGATAGAAAATACTGGCAATAGGATATTTTACTACACAAAATAAATAGAAATGGGCTTCTAAACTGAATCTTCCTTAGTATTATTTAACTTGATACTGTGTCAGGCTCATACAGGGGCATGTTGAACTAAGGAAAGACTTACACATCTCGTAAGAGGAATTCCCAAACAAAAGGTATGAAGCCATCTTAATGGACACAAACTTTTATTAATAATTCCACTGTACTGATCATTGTACCATCGCAAGAGATGTCACCATTGGCACATCCACAGCACATTTTCAAAGACATAAAGGTTTCTCCAGGTAAGATATTGGGGAGGAGGTTGATTAGATTATTGATCAATGAGACATCAGATAATTCAGCCCAATCATTTTTTATTAAGTGAAGATAGATCAACACAAAGAAAGGCAAAGGTTAACAGAACTCACCCTTCTGGGGACAGCGTCTGTTCCAAACTGATTACAACTCTGTTTTATATCCCACTTCTTTACAATATTTTATTTGTCTATTACATTTTGCAGTTGTTTCCATACTTACCTTATCTAATCACATATTAACCACAAATGTGACGTTAACATTTCCTGTACACCAGCCAGATGATTCCTGGCTCCAGTACATTTCCATTCTATATGCAATACAATGCTCATCTGAAAGTAATTTTCCATTATTTCTCTATGTGAAGATTTACAGAAGTCTGCTTCAGGTTTGGTACCTAACTCAGTTCCCCACTTATGCTTGTTTACAACATGTCTACTAACTCATTCCTTTCTTGTTGTGTCAGTTACAATTTCACTACTTGTTCAAGCAACAGAACCAATTCCATTTTATCTAACAAGCACATATCTTATTTGTCACACTTGTTAGCACATATGGAGTTAAAAGTACCCTATGCAGCTACAAAAAAAAAATATAGGATCTGAAAATGGGTGACACCCTAAATACATTACCATTCCTTTTAGGCATATCCTACACAAGTTCAATATGCTCAAAGCCATGTGTAACTTTTAGTTGCCCTTGACATAACCATGAGAAATGATGGAAGCTCAATGCCTACATGGCAACAAAGAGCATCAAATAATGATGCAATGGATGTCTCTCTCTTTCTGATTGCCCGTAAGAGACATGCTTTTTGAGAGCAGAAATAATGGCGGTCTGTCATTGCCAAAACAATAGAGATCATGTCTGTTGTAAGGAACATAAACACTGTTGTTCAGATGGAGGCAAAACAGATTTGGGGGGCATTATACACTGGAACTGTTGAAGGATGCAAAAGAGCTATGCGGAGAAGTGATATTCTGTAGTTCTGAAGAAGAGTTACTTAGCTAAAAAGTGCTGCCTTTTGAGGTTAGATCCTGCTGGAGAAAATGGAATTATCCATAATTTCATGATTTCCTTCAGAGAATTAAACTGATGGTGCAGTAGTTCTGATTTCCAAATCTGATCAGATATTTTCCCTTAGAATAAAAGAATACATTACAATAAAATTCACTTGCTTGAAAATCTGAACTTTACTTGCCACTAAGAGAATAGCTCTGCTATGCAGAGGAGCCATTGGTTTTACCGAGTACCACCACTTCCCTCACTTTATTTCTGATATTGTGAAGAGGTGAGCAGGAAAAGAAGACAGGCTTCTGGAGAGCAGAAGAAAAGCTTCCTTTGAATAAGACAACCAGTATCTGCTTCTGGTTACTCCGGGAGTTGAGAGTTCTACCTCTGGCTGTGTCATTAAATTTGATTGGTGATCTTAACCAAGTAACTTAAGCCTTTTCAAAAAAATAAAACCCCAGAAGTTAGGATCCTTTGAAAATCTCAGTTTAGAAGCCTAAGGGAGTCAGGGGGCTAATTTCACAAATAACTGAAGAAAAACGAAGCTAGCCAGCTTTAAATCCTAATGGTAGCAAGGATAGGGCCTTACATAATTACTACTATTTTTTTTTTATTTTGTTATTAGTGCTCTCAGACCAGCAAGACAAATCTAATCATCAGCACATTTTCAAAGACAGCAAACATTTTCTCCGTAGCAAAGTAACATACGACTGGATCTCTCTAGTTACCCCATTTTTCAAGGGCCCAAGTAACATAGCTAGAAATAAATAGTTACCACTTCTAATAACTAATAAAATAGAACAAAGTACCAGCTTTCCAACTTCTCACTTCCATGCAAGGCTCTTTCTGTTCTAACCAGTTTTTCCAGGGTCTTGAATTGCAGACTATGAAAGAGTCAAAGTGAAATCTAATCCTCTTCTTCTGTTATCATGTGGCAAGCTAAGGCCTGATCCACACTAACCCCCCACTTCGGACTAAGGTACGCAAATTCAGCTACGTTAATAACGTAGCTGAATTAGAAGTACCTTAGTCCGAACTTACCGCGGGGCCAGACGCTGCAGGCAGGCTCCCCCGTCGATGCCGCGTACTCCGCTCGCTGAGCTGGAGTACCGGCGTCGACGGCAAGCACATCCGGGATCGATCCGGGATCGATTTATCGCGTCTAGACAAGATGCGATAAATCGATCCCAGAAGATCGATCACTTCCGGACCAGGAAGTAAGTATAGACGTACCCAAAGGATGGATATTTACTGTGACTACTGACCTCTTACCCATTCCTCTACCTTCAAGTTGCTCTTGTCTTTTTAAACAAACAGTGTATTTTTGCAGCATATTTTCCCACTCTCCTTGCATAAAGTTATAGGCTATTTGAAGGCTGTCTTAAATAAATTGTCTAGAAGGAAACTGGTTGAAAAGACCCAACATGTGTCAGCTCTAATTGTAAAACAGATAGGAAGAGATGGAGAGATATACTGAGATTACCAATCATGTACATCTCCACTCTTAACATACCCTATAATGATTTATTTAGGAGTGGCTTAAGACTTCAACCAGGCGAGTGCCCCATCTTTCTTGAACACTGTATAAAAGGTGGTAAATGATCATTCCTTAACCAAACAATTCACAGTCAACCCAGTTTTACCTGTTAAGTGTTTTAATTAAGTATATAAATTAGCTCTTAGTCTAGGCTAATAATATTTAGAAAGTTTTCTGAGGGGTGTTCTTTAATGTTCTTGGTATGCAAGAATAGAAGCTATTGGTAATTGATAGAGTAATGTGATTAGAAGTTCACTGTGCTGGTAAACAGCAGTCCAGAACTTGATATTATTTTACTTGACGTTTGCCCCCTTACAAACAACACTGACTGGCACAAAGTGTTCAGGATTGCATAATCAGACAGCATGAACTGGCAACACTATGTATTTTTTCTGTTGTCCTTCATACATAGAAGCTGAATCAGCAGCAAAACATTTATCTTTCCAAAAAAAAAAAAAAAAAAAAACAACCCCAAAATCTAGTTTTCATTTCTGCCCTTTCCCTCTATTAGGAGTTGCGCACACATTTTCAATAATTAAGGATTCTATTGAAAGAAAACCACTGTACATCGCTAGTGGGTTCTGCTCATGAGAGAATCAAACTTGGAAAAGCAGGGTGCTGCTGGTTAGGGTTGCCAACTTTTTAATCGCACAAAACTGAACACACCTGCCCCACCAACTGCCCTGCGGCCCTGTCCCTTCTCCGAGGCCGTCTCCACTCGCTCCATTCCCCCTTCCTCCATTGCTCGCTCCCCTCCACCCTCACTCACTTTCACCGGGCTGGGGCCAAGGGGTTTGGAGTGCAGGAGAGGGTGCGGGCTTCGGCTGAGGGTGTGGGCTCTGGGATGGGGCCTGGGATGAAGGGTTTGGGGTGAAAGAAGGGGCTCCGGGCTAGGACAGTGGGTTGGAGTGCAGGGGAGGGGGTGCAGCCTCCGGCTGAGGGTGTGGGCTCTGGGGTGGGGCCAGGGATGAGGGGTTTGGGGTGGAGGAGGGGGCTGGGGCAGGCGGTTGAGGTGTTGGGAGGTGCAGGCTCTGGGAAGGAGTTTGGGTGTTGGAGGGGACTCTGGGCTGGAGCAGGGGGTTGGGGTGTGGGAAAGGGTTCACGGTGTGGGGTCCCTGCAACCCCTAGACATGGGCGGCCAGGGAAGCGCCACATGCTGCCCTCACGCCCGAAGGTGCCACCCCCGCAGCTCCCATTGGTCGCGGTTCCCATGCGTTCAGCGGCTGCAGGGACCTGGCGGGCACTTCCGGGATCCGCGCGGAGCTAGGGCAGGCAGGGAGCCTGCCTTGGCCCCAGGACCCCACCGACCAGATTTTTAATGGCCTGGTCAGCAGTCCCTTTTCAATCGGGCACTCCAGTGGAAAACCGGATGCCTGGCAACCCTACTGCTGGTAGGAACCAAGTTGTGGGCTAAAACAATTCTGTCCATCACCTCGTCAATCCCCCTACCAGTGCAGAACTGTTCCCGCCAGTGCATACTTTTAGCCATAGCAGCCAGCAGCTGTGATTTAAAATCAGCAGTATTTGTACCTGCAAAGTTAATGGCACATAAGGGAGGTCAAATGACACCTGGCCTGAACATTTGCCTATAAATCACTAAAGATAGTAAAAAAAAAAAAAAAAAAGAGATTAATTATATCATCTCGAGATACAGCCTGCCATGAGATGGCTTCAGATGCAATTTTCATCTATTTCTACCAAAGGTAACAACTCATAGCTAAAAATTACCAAGCACTCAGTTCTACTACCTTTACTCACACTGACTATCATCTTATTCTGTAAGCAGTCCCATTGATTTTAATGAGACTACTTGTGGAGTATGAACTACTCACTGTGAGAAAGGGGTACAAAACTGAGCCTAAATGCCTGAAATATTTATTTCCTGTTCTAAAACTGAAGTGTAAGCTTAGCTTTAAAGGACTTTCTGGGTTATCTCCAGCAGGCATTTAAGGCTCAATCCTGCAAACGTTGCTCAAGCAAATTAATCCTTATTCTACTGAGTAGTTCCACTGAAGTTGCATAGGACTGCTTGCATGTTTAAAGATTACTCATGTGAATAAGGCCTGCAAAATCAGACTCTTCTTGTTGAACAAGCTCTGAAGAACAGCTCTCTGTTATCTTTAAAATAAATCTCTAGTTTAACATGGTATAAATTGGCTCAGGGTCTCATGTACAAGGATTACTTGCTGGTAGTTTTGAAGGGAATATATCTGTTCTTCTAAGGGAGTCAAGGGAAGGTGCACTGAGTCTATATATTGGCTATAAAGAGCTGTAGGTGTCAATGTGGGTATAAGAGGGCTAAGCAACCTGAAAATACCAGGTTCCCATCTGGTTTGTAGGAAAAACAGATGGGATGCTCATGATAGATTTAATGGCTTCTAATCATTCAGGATTGTGGAACAGTTACTGTATGGGGAAAAACAATTCAATACATAATGATATTGGTTTATTAATTGAATAAGCTACTGTATGTCTGTTTGGCAACTGATCATGGATGTAAATTAACTTGGTAAGTGGAATAAGTTTAATCAGAAACATAATCCAATGTCTGTGGAACCAACCATTTCATCATGAGTGTCTTCATGAGGTCTGCCGGGGATACAGTCCAGGATTTCTGAATGTCAAAGAGTGAGGAAGTTATTGATTAATCACAGAGTGTGTGAATTCAGTGTCTGACCTAGAACTGATTTAAAGAAAACAATGTATTTATAAATGAAAAATGACTGAATTCAACTTTTCCTGATCAACCCTGATCAATTATGAAAGCATATTGGTAAAAGCACCAATCAAAACTAGGCCTCCATTATGGTAGAAACTATGCAAACACATGCCGTAAGAAGAAACAGTCCCTCCCTAGAAGAATTTACAATCTAAAAATAATAATAAAAGATCCAGAAGAGAAAATAAAAAGGAAATGGTATTTCTCTAATTTCTTCAGATCAGATCACACATACTGGGCTTATTTCTTTGCCACATAGTTATTACTCGAAACCAACAGTATCCTCAGCCCTGGGCAAAACAGAGGAAGTCTCTGTCCCTGCCCCAAGGAGCATACATTCTAAAATAGACAATACAGGCCCACAGTAATGTGCTGGTGAATCTGAAGATGGTGGTCTCTCAAAATTGCTTTTGTAAAGGTAACACTTATTTCACGGGTGGATTGGTGCCAGGCTACAGAGAGTATGTCTTGAGGAGGGAGTTGAATGAGGAAATGGTGGTCAGTTGACATACCTGGAGAATAACAGAGTTTTAGAAGCAAGGACTGGCCTGGAAGAAGGTGTAAAAAGAGGAGTGGATTAAGAAAACTTTAGCCCTGACTACAGTAGGAAATGGACCCATTGCCAGCCTTTCTGAACTGACATGGAGATTAGTTTAGCTATTCGTGTCGTCCTAACATAACTGTTTTCAACATCTTTATGGAAAGTGTTATACAGATGCTTCTGTAAGGCAATAGAAAAATTGTGTCCCAGCTACTGCACACTAGCAGTTGGCCACTACTTAGGACTGCCAATCCTGGTGCTCAGAGCACCACGACTGGCAGCCGTAAGTAGCACATTCCTACGGGGAGCAATTTAATACACTACACCGGCCCTCCATAGAGTTTCGGAACCCCGATGTGGTCCTCAGGCCAAAAAGTTTGCCCACCCCTGGTATAGGGAGCCTAGACACCTAATTCAGGTTTTGTGGATCGCACTGTTGTTTCTGTGACTTTTCTAGGCACCTAAAATTTGGTGCTGTGACTCTCAGTGTTGCAACACCTGAGTCCCTTCATGGATCCCATAGACAAGGTGCACCATTTGAACACTAAAATATATCCAGGTAGGAATTTATGCACCTACCTGTGCCTCAGTTTCCCCATCTGTAAATTGGGGACAGTGATACTGACCTCTTCTGTAAAGCAGTCTGAGACATACTGATGAAAACCACTGTAAGAACTAAGTAGTGGTGTTATTATTGCAGCATTAACATATGATCCCTGCCTCCATTTCCCTCAGGGTGGAGGGAGATTAGTTACTGCACAGGTGTCAACAAAGTCAATGACAATACAACTCCCTTGCTTGCCAGTGTTATTCCCCAGTAGGTTACCATCCTGCCAGCATGTCTTTCTGAAGTTGCATAGGAGAAGAAACTTCCTTGTTTGCGTATTCAAGCCATATCGCATATTCAGTGCCCTGACTGTGCTTAATCTTTTCTGTGTCAAAGGACTTCTCTCTTCAGCCCAAGGAAGACCAATCTCTACCAATATTCCATTTAGACTGAGTTAACCCTTTCCTACTCGTGCATGTTTACCCTTGCAATCCTTTACCGAAAGCGATTCAGTTACATTCTCTTCTATTTTTGGAATCTGTGTTTAAATGGTCAGGACATACAGTTCCACTAGCATTTCAAGATTAAGGTTTTGGGAGTCAGCCGGATTGCTTAATTGAATTTGTTTCAGTGTTTTGTAATAGTAAAAGTAAAAATGTAAAAGTGTATGCTGTGTGTGTTTGTTCTTACAGAGATGGAAGAAAAGAAGATACAGGTAGCAAAAAATAATATACTGTGAAGAATGGGAGGCAAGCAGAATGTAGGCAGTGTGTGTGATGCTGTATGGAATATGTGGGACAATTTAGGATATTGTTGAAACTGATATTATAAAATTTCCAGGACTCTGACCAGATATGCCGTGTGAGGTATCTGCGAAAATGTTACAATTTGCCAAGTATGATAATTTTGTTTATATGTTTGTATCACCTATGAGTTATAGATATGTAGGGTATATCTGTATTTCCAAACTTGTGCTGTGTTTCTGGATGACACTCTTAAACAGATTGACATCAACACTGCTTCGCCTGCTTGATGACCCATTAAGGGACATCAACTGAACAATGAACCCATTCATGGGCAGCGGGTAGGGAAGGCTGGGGGAGGCAGTGCCTCCCCAAACAGCCAGGCGTAGCCCCACACACACTCCGCCCCCCCCCCGGGCCCCGCTTCAGTGGTGCCGCCCTGGGCTTCAGGGGGCTGGGACCATGCCGCTCTCCCTCCCAGCACTGGGGAGGCTGCAGCGGCACCGCTGCGCGCTCTCCCTCCTGGTGCTCTGGGATTGGGGGGGTGGGGAAAAGGCTGTGGGCACTAGCCAGGCTGGGGCGGTGGCAGGTGGCCGTAGTGGGGGTTCTGGGGCACGAGGAAAGGGTGGGGCCTCAGGTGGAAGGGGTGGGGCTGGGGGCTAGCCTCCCCCAGCCAGTAGTTCACACGCCGCCTATGAACCCATTGAAAGGAACCAGGAGGAATACCTTCTGAGTCAGCAGCAAAGCATGTGGTATGCCTGTGGACCGAGAACTTTAAACTTCCATGCCATGTGCTGGGCAGCTTGTGTTTGGAACAAAGGAAATACAAGCTGCATGACAAAAGAGTATAAAAGGCAGCTGCATCTTCTGTCTTCAGTCCTGCTTCTTGTCTTCAATCCTGCTTCTTACCTCTGTAACTTCTCTACAAACTGAAGCTTTGAACAAAGGAATGAATGACCCATCCAAGCTGTGGATGTGTTCCAGAGAGACTGTCATGTCAGCAAACTCACCATTACTGCTAAGAACCTGATATATGGACTTTGAAGTCTTTGTACGTATCTGATTGCTTTGACCATTTAAAATTCTCTTCTTGGTCTTTTTTATTTATAATAAACCTTTAGTTTTAGATGCTAAAGGACTGGCTGGCAGCATGGTATTTTGGGTAAGATAGAAACTCATATTGATCTGGTAA